CGATCTATCGATCTATCGATCTATCGATCTATCTATCTATCTATCTCTCTCTCTATCCTATCCTATCCTATCCTATCCTATCCTATCCTATCCTATCCTATCCTATCTATCTATCTATCTCTCTATCTCTCTATCTATCTATCTATCTATCTATTTATCTATCTATCTATCTATCTATCTCAACTTCCAAAAGTGGTCCGAACTCCTAGTGTTTTTAACATTTTGACTTGCAAATGTGCTTCGCGCCACAACGGCGTGCACTTTTTCGACATCGCAACTTCCAAAAGTCGTCCGACACTGAGGTGTTTTGTAGATTTTGACTTGGAAATGTGCTTCGCGCCACAATGGCGTGCACTTTTCAACATCTCAACTTCCAAAAGTGGCCCGAGAATGGTGTGCTTTGTACATTTTGACTTCGAAATGTGCTTCGCGCCACAACGGCGTGCACTTTTCAACATCTCAACTTCCAAAACTGGTCCGAACCCCTCAGTTTTTAACACATTTTACTTCCAAATGTGCTTCGCGCCACAACGCTGTGCACTTTTTCAACATCTCAACTTCCAAAAGTGGTCCGACGCTGAGGTGTTTTGTACCTTTTCACTTCGAAATCGGCTTCGCGCCACAACGGCGTGCAACTTTTCATCTCTCATCTCCCCGGATGTCTCCGCCCCCGCCGCTTTAGCGAGCCTACTTTTCAACCCTCCGGAGCCACAAAGCCACGAAAAAACACAGTGTTTCGCGACTTTCCTACCTTTTCGCGCACCTGCATCTTCTTTCTTCTGATCTTTTCTCTTCTGACTCTTCTCCCTGCTGACTGCTTTTCATCTCTCCATATTGTCGGAAGTTTGACTTCTAAACTTCCTTCGAACAGACTTTAGCGTTAAATCATGTTCGGATTATAAAGACTAGTCAAAGGGATTTAGGTTTAAAAGCATCTTACGGTTAAAAGATTTAGGGGTTAAAAGGTCTCAGGGTTCAATGGGCTTAGGAATAAAGGATTTTAGTGTTAAAGGATTTTAGGGTTAAGGGCAGCTTAGGATTAAAGGATTTAGGGTTAAAGGGATCTGAAGGTTACAGGATTTAGGGGTAAAGCCTTCTTCGGCATGCAACGAATTACGGATGCGGCAGCGCGATCGGATGCAATGAATGACGGCTGCTAATACGCCATCGTGCGGTCAGAAAAGACACACACGCTGGCCTGCAACGACTTCCAGGTGCTGATGTGCCATCGTGCGGTCAGAAAAAACACACGCGCTGGCCG